ATATTAATGCAATACTTAAATGCAATGATCAATTTTGGGTTCTTCTGTAGTTTATTGTTGCCTATTGCATCTATTCCTCTCTACCTATTGTGATGAAGACCTTACACCTTAATGGCATTATCACCTTACTTGGGGTGAATTGTTTTTTTGTGTAGTCTAGACAATCTTGGCTTTGAGCACTTTACTGAGTAGGTCAGTTTGCCTTTTTCTCTTTCTTTTTTCAGTATTGTCATTTTTTTTTGAGACTATCTGCATAAGAGTTTTAGGTTTTAACAAGTTTTGTGTTGGTTCCAGCAACAGTTTTTTGTTTTTGACATTATATAATATTTCAATATATATATATATATATATATATATATATATATAATATCAATCAGCTAAGTGACATTTTATATTTGTATTAATCCTATATATATTGTAATTTCCTTCTCTGTGTTGAGAGATAGAGAAATCAAAAAAGGTGTAGGGTCTATAAAATAAAAGGTTGTTTTCTTTCGACAGTGTTCAATATAGACATTAACTGAAGCCTTTTCTTTATCATATAAACCAAATCAAGGCTGCATGTCAAAATTTTGTATACATAGTCTTAAATCTCACTTTCTATGCAGAAATCTCGTTTCGAGGTTCGCAAAACAAACATTAACAGTAACAATTCCTGATAATGACTGATCAAGCCCACAACTAAACTCCTACCCACCCATACACATCGTATACAGCAAATACTGAGTACACAGTCACCCTTATGCAAGAGGATAGCATTAAAGTGCAGGAGAGCCACACCCTTTCACTACTGCAAATGGATCAGTGGGGGTGGTCAGGTTGTAAATAAATACAGGCTGATGGATGACCATGCGAGATTAGATCATCTCAGATTAAAGATCAGTTTCTGATCTTATCAGAGATCAGTTGTGAACTGAAGAAAGTAAGTTATTACACTTTTTTTTTTTAAAAAACTAAATATTCATCCAACACAAGGCCCAAGAGCAACTCAAAGTACTTACTGAAATAAGTGCAGTTTATAAGACGTGGTAGAATAAATAACAATTGCTAATCTTGAAGAGGTTAAGATTGTAGCGATCAGAGAATTGAGAGAGTGTTCTACAAATTAGAGGTTCTAAGGAAGAAGTTGCCTGAATGGAACTTCTGCCGTAATATAATAAAAAGAAATGAGGAGGATTCAACTCAGTGGATGCGCCATATAGCTCCTGGATGTAAAGACCCAAACTGGTGGAACTAAGGAATGTAGATTGTCTGAACACCTGCCAAGGAAAGACGGATAGAGTAATAATAGACTTACAATGTTTCATTTGTGAGAAAGGGACTATAGGGCTGGAAATAATTCATCACCCACTAAGGCTGTCTAAAAACACTTTTGAACTGTGTCCCAAGCTGGGAAAAAAGATTGTGTAGCTCCAGACCAGATTTTCACTTTTTATTATATAAAAAAAAAATATTATATAAAATTCAATTAATCAAAAATATATATATATATATATATATATATATATATATATATATAATTCAATATATATATATATATATATATATATAATTCAATTAATGTTATATATATATATATATATAATATATAATTAATTAATGTTATTATATATATATATATATATATAATATAAATTAAAAAATTATTATATATATATATATATATATAATATATAATTAATTAATGTTATTATATATATATATATATATATAATATATAATTCAATTAATGTTATTAAATATATATATATATATAATATATAATTAATTAATCATATATATATATATAATAAATGTATTAATGTTATTATATATATATATATATATAAATAATAATAAATATATATATATATATATAATATATAACCAATTTAATGTTATTTTATATATATATATATATATATATATAAAATATAATTAAATGTTATTATATATATATATATATATATATAATTCAATTAATATATTATATATATATATATATATATATGAAGAAATATAGTTTTAATGTGTGCTATATTTGGGGATAAAGTGCTCAATATCAGAGATAGAATAAATGTAATATAAATATAAAAGTGAACACTGAAGTCAACATCAGATGCGACATTTTGAATCGCTTTATGCTAGATGCAATCAGCGGCCTGATGTTCACTTAATTCAATAATCATATCTTATAAGGTTGAGAATAATTTATCAACCACAAGGCTGTCTAAACACTTTTGAACTGTGCCCCAAGCTGGAAAAAAAAAAAAAAAAAAAAGATTAGATACCTCCAGCTCACATCACTTTTTTAATCTGATAGAGTTTTGTAAAGATAGAACACCATAGGTGGAATCAGATACTTTCTGGAGCGATCAAGGAACTGATCATTTACTCCAGCATTTTTAGTGATGGCTCGTATAGATGAGTTCCACTTTACTTTTCTTTTCTTTTTTTTTGGAGTGTGTTAAGCGGGGATAACAGTTCTACACTTCACCTAACTAGTGTACCATGATTTCTCTTAAGAATAAAAGTATGGTCTGATAGTAGCAGAATTCCAAAAGTACTTCCAAAGACACATTTACTGTCACATATATACAAAGCTTTTGTGCTTTTGGGGCTTTTAAGATGTCTCTTCTAATGACTAATTCAGGTGTAAGCAACCTATGGCATGAAAAATCGGACCATTTTTGGCAGAATGCAAGCTTTAACACAGTCATTTCCAATGGCACTGAATTTAAATGACACTACAAAGAAGATATTTAGCCAATTTCAATTTTAATATATATTAAAGTATATATACTATATATTATCATTATAAAATATATAGTGGAACAGGTATATTGACCTTGACTTGTATAAAAATACGCATGCTGTAGGCACACTGAATGATTTTAAAACCCTAAGTCGATACATAGTTAGCAAAAGGTTGCCGGCCCCTGGAATAGACCATGTTATGTTGACTTGTAGGTTAACAGCTTTTTGCTGACATGGTTGACTAATAGCATCAATCATGGCTCTTCACAGCCTTTTTTTTTTTTTTTGATGCTGGAAGCAAAAACATAAGCAGATGCTTCCATGGTACCATGAAGAATTCCAACAAAAGTCCTTTTTATTCTGGAATATGAACTAATATGTGCAAATTGGAGCAAGATGAGGAGTTTCATTATTCTGGAAAGGTTCTGGAAATGGCTAGAAGAGATTGTCCAATACCTTGACCCACAACCACACTAAATTTATTGTTTAGATTATTGGATATGGGTACATGTACAAAATTTAATTCAAGGAAACAGAACCAATGGAATTGGATTTTGAACATAAAAGCAGAAATGTATCAAAGATGCTTTCATTTGCATTTGGTCTGATATTTCCATCTTATAGAGAAGAGAAGGTCTTCAAAATCTTCAAAATCTAAGGACTTTATAGATATCCTTTATAAAGAGGCATGAGAACAAATTTACTTTCATTTGCATTTCCATCTTATAGAGAAGAGAAGGTCTTCAAAATCTGAGGAATTTATAGATATCCTGTATAAAGAGATACGAGAATTTGCTTTAATTAACATTTGGTCTAATATTTGCATATTATAGAGAAGAGAAATTATGAAAACTCTAAACAGTCAGATACTTTATAGAAATCTGTGTACACACAAATCAAACAATAATAGGTGGTATATATTTATAAATACAAGAAGAATGCAATGCAAAAGCAATAATCCTTATCGACACCTACAACTACATATTCAGAAACCACACCTTTCATCATCTGACCTTCTGACTTTCAGGTAGCTGCAGTCCTTAAACTGGGGAACCAGCTTACCTAACTGAATGCCATCCTTTTCTTCCTGAACAAAGGAAAGAAGAAAATGCTGTGTCTTGGAATAAGCAAGATTCATTCTGTCCAAATAAGGTAAAACAGATTTCTTGACATCTCTTGGCAAAGCGGAAATTTTGGACTTTGTCGAAATGTAAGACAAGCAGAGCGTACACAGTCACTTATCTGAAATTCTGAAAGTGTTTTTTATTTTCTTTTTTCTGTGGAAATGGTTTTCACACAACCACAGCATGTGTTCAAGACCCGATACATCTCAAAATTTACTTCTATTGTGTTCTTCCAGACCTTGTAGATCACAAAAGAAGTTATCATTTCAAAACAGCTGTGGCTCAATCCAAACTACACAGTTGTTTTTCAGAACTCCCACTGGTCAGATGTAGCTCTGCTCTTTACAAATAGTTTATCTTTGGTGATTTTTTTTTTTTTTTTTACTCAGTGTGTGTGTGTATATATATATATATATATATAAAAAACAATAGATTCACCCATGAGTAGCAAACAACTAAATTGTCTACCCAGTATAAAACACCTGTACTATGAGTTTCAAATTTGTAAAATTCTGAATGCAAAAACAACAAAGAAGAGAGAGAGAGAGGAAAAGGAGAATGGGGGGGAGAGAGAGGAAAAGGGGGAGAGAGAGAGAGAGAGACAGAGAGAGAGAGAGGGGAGAGACAAAGGGGAGAGAGAGAGAGGAAAAGGGGGGAGAGAGAGAGAGAGGAAAGGGGGAGAGAGAGAGAGAGGAAAAGGGGAGAGAGAGAGAGGAAAAAGGGGAGAGAGAGAGGAAAAGGGGAGAGAGAGAGAGGAAAAGGGGAGAGAGAGGGGAAAAGGGGGAATGGGGGAGAGAGAAAAAAAAGGGGGAGAGAGAAAGGGGAAAATGGGGAGAGAGAAAAAATGGGGGAGAGAGAGAGGGAAAAGGGGGAGAGAGAGAGAGGGAAAAGGGGAATGGGGAGAGTGAAAGAGAAAGGAAAATAAGAGACATTGTTTGAGGAGGTGCTGAAAAGTTCTCATCAAAGTATGATCCACTTCCTAAAATGTAATTAGAAAGAAACAATGAAACAGCTGATGTTCGAAGAAACTTTTGAAAATACATCAGGCCAAGAATTTTTCAGCACCCTATTCACAGGTATACACTATATCCTATAAAGATGCACTTTTTATGTTGCAAAATATGGTATACATTAAAATAG